AAAAAAAAAAAAAAAAAAGAAAGAAAGAAAGAAAAGAAACAATAGAAAAGAAGTGTGAGATGCGGGTGGTTTCTTCCAGAAGAGCTTAGAGCTCTCTTTCCTTGAACCATATGAAGATAAGAACCCACACAAACGTACTACAAACCAACTGGGCACATGTTCCGGGAGTTACTTACCTTATAAAAGCTGAAATTTATTCCTCTTGGCTAGAAGTCACAAATGGCTGAAGCAAAACTCCCTTCGTTTGTTCCTCCAGCGAGCCAAAGCTAGCTTCCCATTAACCCAGTCCATTGCAGATCATCTCGCCCAGCACAGGCTCCCCTGCCTTCCCCAGTTCCCAGCCCAGCAAGGATAATCACATTCTGGCGGGGAGTGAACAGATGGTGGATTCCATGGTAACCAGCCTCCTAAGGCGATTGGTAGAAGTGTGTGACTACTGCTTATTGGGTAACAATCGCAGTCTTTGTGCTCCAGCCTTGCAAATCCTAAAGGAAGGAACATATATAGCCGCTCACATGCGCAGGGCTTGCCTAGCAGGTGTTTGGCTATTTCTACAAGGCAACACAGCCCAACTAAAAGCTTTCCAGCAAGTTTGCCCTGGGTGGTTCAAACTCCCAAACGTTTCAGATAGCGTACTCTGCCCGTTCAGGGAGAAAGGTCACTGGAGGCTCAACTTAACAAACAGAAAATAAAACTTGAAAGTTAACTTGAAAACCCAAAGCCTTCTAGAAAGCTAAACTTCAACAGCAAGTGGCTTTTCTGATTTGTAATACACATCAGAACTGAGAACTGCTTTGACACATATAAAAATTTTTTTTTAACAAATGTAATACTCAACATTGCAAAAATATCTTCCTTTGAAAATAAAGTAATTGCTTTCAAACGCAATTGTTTTATAAATTAATCATTTCTAGGGAAACACTTAAATTTATTTTTTTACTCTGTTTATTGAATTTGAGGGTAGGGCATTAAATATAAAATTTTCATCTAGACTTTTTACTCAGAGGCTTGAAAACGTACATCAGAAGTAAATTTTTTAAAGGACAAGGAAAACAAATAATAAGATTAGTTTAAAAAGAAAGAAAACACACACCGTGACTAGACCATTATAGTTGGGAAAATATGGTCACCAAGACTGTGGCAAAAAGAGAAAAGTTTATGGTCTATTAATAGCAACGTACTGTTCACTGAGTTCCTAGTATGTGCTGGACATTATAATAAGCACTTTACTAATTATTTAATCATAGAGTTTATGAAAGTAGGCATTATTACTCTCATAGACAGTGTAGGTGTGAGACCCAGAATTGGGGCTCTCATTTGAAAAATGAGGCCCAGAATTTAAGCCCTCTGCCGTAGGTCTCAACACTGACACTAGAACCGTATTTGTTTGAAACCAAACATTGAGTCTGTATAGATACTAGGTATCTACCCAGAAGAACAAAAATCATTTTACCACAAAGACATTTGCACTAGATTATTTACTGCAGCTCAATTCATAACTGCCAAGTCACAGAAGCAACCTCAGTGCCCGTCAACACATGAATGGATCAACAAACTGTGGTACCATACCATGGAATATTAGTCAGCCACTAAAAAGATGGAGACTTTACTTTTTTTTTTGGCTGGGGCTGGGTTTGAACCTGCCACCTCTGGCATATGGGGCTGGCGCCCTACAAGACTTTACACTTTTCACATTTACCTAGATGGAGTTGAAATACACTCTTCTTATTAAAGTATTGCAAGAATGGAAAAATCAACATCCAATATACTCCATACTAATATGAAATCAATATATAAACATTACATGTTCATAAGAATAATAAAATCCTATTATAGTCCAGTTTGGGGGTAAAGGGGAGCAGGAGGGGAGAGGACATACGGCAGGAGGAGGGAGGGCATGAGGCGGAATCTTACCTCATGTGCACATGGTGAGAGTGTGTAACACACCCCCGGGTGACCGGCTCTTTACCCTGGAAGTGAGTACAGTGTAACCTAAATATTGTATTATATTAATTTGAATAAAATTTAAAAAAACAAAAATTGAGTCTAAGTCGCAGTGCTACACCACGTCCTAGAGGAGAGGGGGAACACAGATCACTAAATTGAATACTCGGAAGACACACACACATCTGCAGTAAGAAAAGAGATTCTTTTTTTTTTTTTGCAGTTTTTGGCTGGGGCTGGGCTTGAACCCACCACCTCCAGCATGCGGGGCTGGCGCCCTACTCCTTGAGCCACAGGCGCCACCCAAGAGAAGGGATTCTTAGGACCAAAAGCCTGGGCTTCAAATTTTTAAGAATAGCTATGAGGAAGAAATATTAGTGTTATTTCCTAAAATTTTTAATGTCAAATTAGAATTTTTTAAGAAGACTATTCCCCTTGCACATATTTTTAAACATTCACTCCACAATGATCTTGGGTGGGTCTGATAACTAGCAAGATAATAAAAAAAACTAAAAAAGAACTTGGCTCAGAGTTTCTTTTAAAAAAAAAAATGATTCCGTGGGAGTTACTCAGAAAGGGGGGGAAATGGCAGATTTAAGAAAGGCAAGTGGCTTGGCATCTGTGGCTCAAGCAGCTAAGGGGCCAGCCACATACACCAGGGCTGGAGGGTTCAAATCCAGCCCAGACCTGCCAAACAACGACGGCTGCAACCAAAAAATAGCTGGGCGCTGTGGTGGGTGCCTGTAGTCCCAGCTACTTGGGAGGCAGAGGCAGGAGA